TCAGGAAGGTACAGGGTTTGGGTGGAAAATCAACCTAAGAGACCAATAACAGATAATGGGTAAGAACATATGCTCTCTGGGTGGGTGCAGTGGCTCACACCTGTAATCTCAGCACTTTGGGAGGCTGAAGCAGGCGGATCACCTGAGGTCAGGAGTTAGAGACCAGCTTGGCCAACATGGTGACCGTGTCTCTACTAAAAATGAAAAATTAGCCAGGTGTGGTGGTGCACACCTGTAGTCCCAGGTACTCGGGAGGCTGAGGCAGAAAAATCACTTGAACCGGGGAGGTGGAGATTGCAGTGAGCAGAGATCATGCCACTGCACTCCAGCCTGGGTGACAGAGTGAGACTACATCTTAAAAAAAAAAAAAAAAAGAAAAAAGCATATGCTCTCAAGTCATGTTCACTGGGTGTGAATCCTGACACTGCTACTACCTAACTGCTTAACCTTGGGCAAATCATGTAACTTCCCCTTTCCTGTTTATCTGGTTATAAAATAGGGATAAGAATATTTCATATGGATGCTGTATTAAGTGAACTAACAAATATATAAATAATTCAGAGTAGTGCTTACAACTTAAGTGCTGAAGAAATTTCGGCTGCTATTATCTGAGCATGACCATTTGCTCTTTGGGGTGTACATATAACAAACCATCCAGAACTATTTTATTTGGAACTTGTATCTTAAAGCATTAAGCCTCAGTTTGTATCAACCAATTTAAATTCTAAATGCAGAACCATTTCTCAACATTTCTGAGCCATAGTTTCACCACCTGAAATTTTTGAAATTGTTTAACTTACTTCAGAATATTGTAGTAGAAATTAAATGAGCCCATTCAGGAAGCAGGTAGCTTCTGCTTATTAAGTGTAGCTTTGGGAAAGTTACCTGTTTCTCTGAGCTTCAATTTGCTAATCTGAGAAATAGTTACCATCTTCTTTGGATCAAATATATATATGCAAAATGCTGGGCACAGTTACTGTTACCAAAAATGGCCATTATTATTCCTTAAAAATACCTTAAGGCTTGGTGGCTTAGAGACCTCCAGTAGCTCAGCAAAATCTTCAGATTAATTAAAGGTTTATCCACCTTGAAGTTTAGAGGCCCTTGTATTTCTAAGCCCTCAGGCATTTATGCAGGCTGGGACCAGAAAGAACACATTTTTATTTCCTTATACCTGTGGTTTTAGAGGGTGGACAAATAGGAACCTCAAAAAAGAATAAACCAGACAACCAACTTAAGTGAAGGTAGATGGTTGTTTACAGAAGTCAGTGCCTCAGCAACGACATCATGATCTTTCTCTCTCAGAAATGAACTGTAGGGAATTTAAATGGATAATCAGAAACGATTTAGATATGGAAAAGATAGCTTTGCATTTCATCTTGTTTCAACAAGTACTAAACGTACACAGCTTGAATTTTTTAACTTTGCAAGAACAGATTTATTTATACATTTTACTTCTCATCTTTATTTCTACAATATTTCATGGTGAATAAGTTGTACTGATTGACATCTTTAAAATAATTTATCTTCATTTGATTCTCAACCACTTATTCATGATTATCCTCTAGCTATGGGGTCACAGAGTTGTTCTTTTAAGATACTAGAGAGATCTCAACATTTTTCACTCACTTAGTGTAACTTATACAGAATTAAAGATCTTCATGTTTGAGTAATCATTCAGAACCTCCATTCTCTTTCTTAGTCCCATGGACAACTTTCCTGTGTGTCTTCTGCCTTCAAACCTCTCCCTTCTTGTCAGGACTCTAGTCACTGGATTTGGAACCTTCCCTAACGGTCTACCTCATCTTAACTTCATTCCTGTACTTTTCTAAGTTCACATTCACAGATGGGGGATGGGAGTAGGACTACAACGTATCTTTTATTTTTTCTTCTAAGGGTTCCTACTATGATGAGACAATGTAAAATGTATAGATTGCCCCAAAAGTGTAATGAAAATATATCCTTGACAAATGAAATTTGTGCTACCCACCAATTTCTCAACTCTAGCTTTATCCCACTAGGAAGAAAATGCCAGCCAGTATTAGGCGTGCACACTACAGGCTTGCAAGAAAAGCATATTAGTCAATACAAAGGTTAACATGTATTGAGCCCCTACTTTATATCCAGTTCTTTACTAAGTGCTAGGGATAGAAGAAAGAAAAAGGTACCAATCCCTGCTCTTGTGGAGCTCATTCTGGTAGCCTGGACTGGTTCCATGACTTTGGTCACAGTAACAGCATAGTATTCGCAAAGTGAGCAAACCAGTTATCCTCATCACCTCAATCAGTAAAAGAACTTAGTGACAGTCATTACAGATTGATCATACACTACCCATTTAAACAAAAATCTGTAAAAGTTGAGGGAATGAAGATGAGTTAACTTTTTTTGAAGTTAATTACTCATATATGGTGTTGGAACCCTAGGGGAAAGCAAAATGAAAAGCAAATCAGATGAAAAGAGGGTAAGGTTCCTGCCTGCTATCTTGATTCCCTTGGTCACCCTTACCCCTCACCAGCTAGGAACTAGAGACACTTGTTCTGCTTATGTGCTCTGAGGTGTGAACAGAGCACCTTAGAGCAAGTTGCCATTTCAAGTCATTTCCAAACACTCTGAAAATGTTACATAATCATAGGATAAAAGAAAGAGATAATAACTATTGTCAGAGTCTAAATACCTCACTTTTATAGGTGAAACAAAGGTTTTAGAATGTGACTTGATTAGGGTCATGTAACTGTAATAGTACTATAAGCTGCCTGAGAGTAGTAACCTTATCTGGCTTAGGTGACCTTTATATTCTCAGATACTTGTATGTGGCTAGCAGGTAAATGCATATTATGGAATGAAACAATTTAAATAATGAGTCAGAAATGCACCATTTAAATACTTTTTCTACTGCCATAATAATTTGAAATTTTTGAACAGGTTTAAGATTCAAAATAGGCCGGGCGCGGTGGCTCAAGCCTGTAATCCCAGCACTTTGGGAGGCCGAGGCGGGTGGATCACGAGGTCAAGAGATCAAGACCATCCTAGTCAACATGGTGAAACCCCGTCTCTACTAAAAATACAAAAAATTAGCTGGGTATAGTGGCGCGTGCCTGTAATCCTAGCTACTCAGGAGGCTGAGGCAGGAGAATTGCCTGAACCCAGGAGGCGGAGGTTGCGGTGAGCCGAGATAGTGCCATTGCACTCCAGCCTGGGTAACAAGAGCAAAACTCCGTCTCAAAAAAAAAAAAAAAAAAAAAGATTCAAAATAAAAAAAAATTTCAGGTTAGTCTAACAAATGTTGACATCATTTACCCATGTGTTGTTAAAAATTATTTAAAAGAGAATAGTTTGTGCTACAGACTAATAGTCTTGGCTTCTGCTCTCAACACTTTCTGATCTTTGTACCTCTTTTGCATTAGATAGAGGAAGAAAGAAGCTGAACCAGATTTTGCTGCCTGTTCACCCAGTAAGCCTTTTACAATAGCTGTTATTTGGTCCCAGCTGTTGCGCTAAATTTAGGTTTTTGGCTTATCTGTAACTGTTCTGTCTCCCATTACCAAGGTTAATTGCAAAGTGATTGTAGAACTAGTAAAAACTTCAGTTCATTTTTTTAAAACTACAAAACACAGTATTCAATAATATCAAAGTCAAATCCACTGGGATTTAACATTTGTAGCATTTTATAGATTAAAGAACTATTGCCATTTGTCAGTTTCATCTTCATGATGCGAGAACATTTCAGAGAAAATGAAATGCTACCCTCCCGAATGTCCTCTCTGCTCCAATTAGATATAATCATGGAGTTAAGGGTAACGATTTCAGTTGTACATGTTATTTTACTGTATATATCTAAACACTAGAAAATAATACTTTTTAAATATTTCATAATGCTTTCTTCATAAGAACTTTATCTGAGGCCAAAAAAAAAATAGAATTGCCAATCTTGCACTTGATAAAACTCTTCTGAGGTGAAAACAGTACATACTCATTGTAAAAAATTTTGAAACAGAAGAGCACAAATTTAAAAAAAAAAAAAAACCGTCTTTAGACTTGTCCTAGTACTTTCCTGTTGTGGTCCTTTTATGCAAAATTACATCTAAAAAAACCTTTTTCTAATGAAACTAAACAGCCTTGCAAATTTTTACTTGTCACCATTTGGTCTCACGCCCCACATGTACTTTGTCTATAAACTGAGTAGCTAATAGCTGCAGCTCTTGTTAGGATTGCCTTTTTTAAGCACAGCAGATTCTTGTCATCTGTTTGTGTTTAAATGACGACAGCATCACAACACGAAATGTCATCATGTCACATTGCTATAGCACAACAACACAATTACAGCTCCCCAACAATAACATGCTGTCAAAGTGTCCTGCCCATGAGTCAGTGTTTTAGAAGTTATGAAGGTTATTTTTAGCACAGCGAGTATCTTGGAAGCTTGGGTTCTGAATCGTACTAAAATCCCTGGTGATTTGGGAAAATCTAGGATGGGGGTGGGCTTCCTGGTTCTTAAATTCTCCCACTCCCTGACCCGCGTAGCTGCCCACCCTCCTGTGCCTGCCACATTAAACCTGGTTCCATTTTGCGCTGCAATACACTTGGGGCTCGATCACAACTCTGCGCCAACATCCCGTGTGGAGGAGGAGGAGGAGGAGCAGGAGGAGGAGGAGGAGGCGGCTATAATTATCCTCCACGTCTGGGGCAGGCCCTTGGATGACATCTCCCCAGTTACCCTGCGCTCTAATAGCGCAGCTCCAATTCCTGGTCTCAGAATCCAGGCCCGCCTCGGCCGGCTAGGAGTGCAACCGAAGTGCCTGGGGCCTCTCGGGCTTCCCGGGCTCCGCCGGTGCCTCCGACGCCCTCGCACCCGCCGGTCACCTGCACCGAAAATCCGACCCCCAACCTAGCGCCCTGGGGCGAGCGGCGGTGTTGCCACAGCAACCGGGAGCCAGGGCCGCGGAGGCCGCCGGGGAGGAAGTGACGAGCTGGGTGGGTTGGCTGTTGTTGAGGCACGTGACCCAGGCAGTGTTTTGACAGGGCAAACAGCAGAGAAAGAACTGGCCGAGCGAGGGGGACGGGGAGCCGGGGCGCCAGAGCGAGAGACAGCGGGCGGGCAAGGAGCTGGCAGCGGCGCTGGGCAAGCGGGCGGGCCGGAGCGCCGGGCGGGGGAAGCCCGGGGGCCGCGGGCTCGGGAGCCAGGCAGGCAGGGCGAAGGGCTGCGCGCAGGGAGCGAGCGAGGCGGCGGCTGAGGCGCGGGTGGATGGCCACAGGGACGCCGGGGAGCCGCTTCGGGCTGGTGGTCTCGGGCCCCCACCGTCCCCTGAGGCAGCCCCGGGGGGCGCTGCGCTGCACGTTCCGCTCCTGCCGGCTCTGCGCGCCTCGGAGCCTGGGGTCTGAGGTGGGAGTGTGATGTGAGCCGCTGGGCGAGCGGCGGAGAGAAGTGCCAAGAGGAGGCGGGTTCGGGACGGGAGAGGAGAGCGAGTTAGTCAGCAGAGGTCGGCCGAGGGGGCCGAGGAGCCGGCCAGCCCGAGAGCGCCATGAAAACAACTCTCCTGCGGGGAGAGGGGCAGGCGCGGCGCTCCGTGCGGCGGGGCTGAAGGAAATCCGGGGCCGCCGCGGGACGGAAGGGGCTGCGCAGAGCGCGGGGCGAGCCCCCGGCTGTAAACACCTCCCTCGGAGCCAGTCGCGGAGGACTGGCTGGGAGTTGGTAGGGTCGCTCCGGGACAGCCCGGAACTGTTTGTTTGGGGCTGGGGGCTGGGCAGGAGGAGGTGGCTCGGGTTTCGGTGTAAACTTGGCGACGGTGCCGCAGGAAGGCTAGCCAGAGGGTAGTTACACAGGTGAGGCCCGGCGGGGCGGGCGGAGCGCTTGGGAGGCACCGGGGACTGGAGGTGCCTGGCTGTGCCCAGGCACCAGGTGGGAGAATTTCCATACCAGCCCTTGCGGAGGTGCCACTGTTTCCAGAGGCGTTTTTGTACGAAGGGGTTAGTTTATGTTGCTCGAATCTTTTTCTTCTTCTTGCCTGTACCTCCAGGTTATAAATAGATCTTGCTTGGTTCAGAGACTGTGTGTCAGGGAAGGACACATTGGCCTGGAGAGCACAGAGGCAGGGAAGAGGGTGCTCGATCCGGAGGAGCTGGGGGAGGCAGTGCAGAGAGAGTTTTGCTTTTTTCAGACCAGCCGAGGGTGCTGTCACCGCAGTTGGTGCCAGGAAGAGGCCTAACTTAACAGTAGTTTACTTGCAAGGTCCGGGTATCAGAATAGGGCCAGATTAATTTTATTTTTATCTCTTTCAGCTTTTTGAAAACGAAGCAGAAGCCGTAGAATCAGCAGCGAGCCTGTTGAAAGAACCCACACGTGCATTTCACAACACTCTGGGTGAAAATTGGATGTGAAAATGAAGCCAGACCGAGGTAAATGATTTGTTTAAGTAGGGCTTGTTCCCCCACCTCCTCCTTTTCTGTGCCTCAATTTAGAAGTGTTAACCTAATTCTGCAGTAGGATCAACTATTTCTGTATCATATGTGATTATCTGATTTTGTGACAGATTCCAGCTGGTGAGGTAGAGAAAGGCATATGGAAGAGAAGGTTAAGCGTTGTTTTTCAAAAGTGCTTTTGAAGCAGTAGCTTCAAGAGAGATTCTAGTGTATCTCAAAATGAAAGTAAAGAACAGTGTTTCTAACTGTTGCCACAATACAGGTATCATCTTAGAGTTCCGCTTGCTTGTTTTTAGGTAGTCAGTCTAACATCAACTAAGTTCATAAGCCTTTTTTTTTTTTTTTTTTTTGAGACGGAGTTTCGCTCTTGTTACCCAGGCTGGAGTGCAATGGCGCGATCTCGGCTCACCGCAACCTCCGCCTCCTGGGTTCAGGCAATTCTCCTGCCTCAGCCTCCTGAGTAGCTGGGATTACAGGCACGCGCCACCATGCCCAGCTAATTTTTTGTATTTTTAGTAGAGACGGGGTTTCACCATGTTGACCGGGTTGGTCTCGATCTCTAGACCTTGTGATCCACCCGCCTCGGCCTCCCAAAGTGCTGGGATTACAGGCTTGAGCCACCGCGCCCGGCCCATAAGCCTTTTAAACTTAAATGTGGGCCGGGCGCGGTGGCTCAAGCCTGTAATCCCAGCACTTTGGGAGGCCGAGGCAGGCGGATCACAAGGTCGAGAGATCAACACCATCCCGGTCAACATGGTGAAACCCCGTAGTGGCTCAAGCCTGTAATCCCAGCACTTTGGGAGGCCGAGGTGGGTGGATCACAAGGTCTAGAGATCGAGACCAACCCGGTCAACATGGTGAAACCCCGTCTCTACTAAAAATACAAAAAATTAGCTGGGCATGGTGGCGCGTGCCTGTAATCCCAGCTACTCAGGAGGCTGAGGCAGGAGAATTGCCTGAACCCAGGAGGCGGAGGTTGCGGTGAGCCGAGATCGCGCCATTGCACTCCAGCCTGGGTAACAAGAGCGAAACGCCCTCTCAAAAAAAAGAAAAAAAAAAAACAAAAACTTAAATGTGAACTTGATAAAATGAAGAGAAAACTTAAGATTGAGTTGATAACTATTATTTTATTATTACTACTTTGATAAGTTGATTATTGTACTTCGAGCAAACTTCAAAAGTTTGCAGAGTACCTTAGTATTCAGTATATCAGCATATGAACAGTTTGGGCCACTGAAATCCCTAGTGATAAGTAGATGTCACTTCCTTTCTAAACCTGTATGTTCAGGATTTATAAGAATATTGTATACACTGCTTTTCAAGGATCTCAAAGTAATTGTTTATCAGTCTTCTGATTAACAGCAAGAACCAATTTTAGAAGATGTTAATATAGTAGTGGTTAGTAGTGAAAGCTTTTCAGCCAGATACGAGTTTGATTCCAAGGAACATTGTGAAGTGGGGATTATTTGATAGGGAGCTGGACTAGATGACAGATTTCCTTCCAAGTCCAAGACTTTAGGATTGGAAATATTAATATATCCTACAAAGTAGATGCTTATTTTAAAATTTATATTTATTAAACAGGTTGCTTTCTATATATTTTTCAAAGTGATTATACAAATTCTCTATGTAAAATAGGTATATTGAAATGTACCAGAAGGAATTGGAGAAAACCACACTTAATTTAGTGATTTAAATTAGTTTTAGGTGTTTGGCTATTACGTAAAATCAGGCAACAGTTGTGTATGTATCAAGTATTAGCAAGTGTATTGCTCCTGAGCACGTTGCTTGTGTGGAATGCCAAGTTTAGATTTTTAGATTACATCAGTGGCTTTGGAAAAATGGCACCAAGGTCAGTAATTGAATGTCAGAATAAACCAGCAAATAAAATCAAAGTCACTATTTGTTTTGGATTGTTGTTAAATGTTGCTTTACAGTCATAAGCAGTTTTTAAAATAGTATTTGCAATGAAAACTAGTGTTAAACATAGTAAAATATTTAGTTACATACTGAAACAGATTTTTAGGGAAAACAAATTTATTCATCAAGATTTCCAAAGAAGTCTTCCCCTTAAAAAATGTAGCTTTCTTTAGCGTTCTCAGGTAAAGATGATGGGATTGTGAGTTTAGTATTGTGATTATATTCCATAATAACATAAACCTTTAGACACATGGCTTTTTTTTTTTTTTTTTTTTTTTTACTAAGACTCAGTGTAAGTAATCTTTTACTTAGAAAACTAGTACAGAAGTACTGAAATAAGTTTTTCACAAATGTACTTGTCCTTACTGTGTGCAGTGTAGTGCTACATGTTCTACTCTCTTTCACGTTTTGAAAAATTGCTGTCACAACCCACTGAATTGATTTCTTCACCAATTAATGGGTCATGATGACCTGCATTTTGAAAGGCACAGTTATGGACAACTCTTAGCAAGAAAACAGTTATACTTTTTTTTTTTTTTTTTTTTTTTTTTACTACATTAGTGTCTAAACTGTATAAATGAATTTTCTGGATAATTGAAACTTTTTAAACATCAAAATATTTTCAGTTGTAATCATGATATATGGAGAAATTTTTAAAATGTTCATGTTTCTAGCTGAGATTGTTTTGTCTCTAGTTGAAACCATTTCAGCCTGTCTTTTTAAATCTGATTTTTATGTTCCCTTGCTGTGTACAGTTTTTGTTGTTAAAATACTTATCCTTGCCACCTTTTAAGTTTCCTGCTTTTAGTCTCTGAGCTGGAGAATTATATAATCATACTTAAGATGAACATAAATGGGAGAACTTCTCAGATAATCATTCAGAATGTGAGTAAAGTGTGGATTTTAATGTAGAGACTGAGATGCTAGTTTTATGGGAGACAGCTGTGTTTCAAAGAGTTAAAGTTTCTAAATAACTCTTATCCTACATGATTGGGTGTGGTAGTTGGTTGGCTAACAGTAAAAGTTTAAGGTGAGGGTCAGGAAAAATGCCTTAGTTCTTTTTCTGTTGGCTATTTGTTTTTATGGAGGGTATGGGGAGCATTTGTCAGTTCTGCTCCCCATACCCTCCATAAAAACAAACTGATAGCCAGTAGAAAAAAATTCTCTGAAGGTCAGGAGTTTCTATTATACTTTCAAGTAAGATGTTATGGTATAGCATGACAGCTACATTTCAAAATAGTCGATAGTATTTTACTGAACGTTACAGTAAAAAAGTTAATTTTAAGCAATAATATAACATTACTTTGGTAACACTGCCAAAGATAACTCTTATATGTTGTCATTAGCACAGGCTTTAGAATCTGACCTGTGTTTTTATACTTGTTCATTACTTGCTTGCTCTCTAATCTTCATCACATTACTTAATCTCTAAGAATCTCAATTTCCTTATCTATAAAATGGGAATAATTCCGACTTCTCACAGTTAGAATGAAAAATGACAGTGTCTGGCACGTAGCAGGTATTAAGTAAAATGTATCATGTTAAATAAGATGTGACAGATGCTTATATACTGGTCAGTTACAGGATAGACTCAGCAGAGGTAAGGAAATAATCAAATGTTTAATAACCTAACACTATTTTGTTTTGTTTTGCATTGATAGTGTTCAACCTGCCAAGGCTCGAGCAATTTAATAATTTTTTAATGTCTAGTTATCTGAGAAAATATAAAAGCTACGAAAGGATACTTGCAGTATATGTATAATGTATTTGTTTATATTGTCATTTGGTTTTACAATTATTGCTTCTATATGTAGAGGATGACATGGGTGGGCTAAGCTTTCTGAAATAATTAGGTCTTTAAGTGATTTTAACAGCTGACTAGAGCTGGGCAGCTGGAGAACTTAATGTTATTCTGCCTTAGACTCAAGGATGTACAAGTTTGGACCTGGCTCCAGGTCTTTGTGTATATTGAATGCCTGGAGTTTCAAGAGAAGTCTAATGGGTGGTCTACAGCCTGTTGCGGTGGCTCCTAGCTATAACCCCAGCACTTTGGGAGACCAAGGCAGGTGAATTGCTTGAGCTTAGGAGTTCGAGATCAGCCTCGGCAATATAACAAGACCTTATCTCTATTAAAAAATAAAGTGTGAGGCCGGGTGCAGTGGCTCATGCCTGTAATCCCAGCACTTTGGGAGGCCGAGGTGGGTGGATCATGAGGTCAAGAGATCGAGACCATCCTGGTCAACATGGTGAAACCCCGTCTCTACTAAAAATACAAAAAATTAGCTGGGCATGGTGGCGCATGCCTGTAATCCCAGCTACTCAGGAGGCTGAGGCAGGAGAATTGCTTGAACCCAGGAGGCGGAGGTTGCGGTGAGCCGAGATCGCGCCATTGCACTCCAGCCTGGGTAACAAGAGCAAAACTCCGTCTCAAAAAAATAAAATTAAATAAAAATAAAGTGTGGTCTTAGTGTAGAGGCAATTAAAAACATTCCAGGATATGTTCTAAATATGTTTCTAATTTTATATTTTTAATATCTGAGCTTACCAAAACTGCTATGAAAGATTAAGACCTATAAAATAAATCATCAGTAAATTAGTAATTTAAATCTACTGTTTCCATTCATACTTAAACACATCATAGGCCATTGAACTTTAAGTTAAAACTATTAGTGCAAAATCTGTTCCACAAACAAAACACCACACTCTTTTGGGGTTTGGTTTTGAGGTTAAAACAGAGAAGTACTTAGTTTTTTCCTCCATTTTGGCTATATTACAAATATAGACCTTAGCCTTAGAATTCCAGTGGCTTATGAACTTAACTATAGCATAATGCAACCCTGTTAACCTCAAACAATTTCTTCCTGGGCAGGTGAGTTAGGAGGAAAGACGTGTTAAGGACTAGAAAAACATAGCAAGGCAATTAGGTGCGTTGCTTACTAAGAATAGTTCATTGTTAGTTGATGTAAATCAAACAAAAGAAATGGCAGATGTTGGAGGAGAAGTAGTATTGACTAGATTAAATAAAGCAGCCTTTTGCTAAATTCCCAGGTGGAGGAGGTAGTGATAGTATTAATAACAATAGCTAATACTTGTTCATACTATGTGCCAGGCACTGTCTTAA